TTGTTGTGCCCCTGGCCTGAGAGGATGGAAGTTCAATATGTACAGTAGCTAGATGTAGAAGGCTAATGTTAATAGCTAACGTTGCCCATGAATGGAAGTTAGGTTAGCGAGCAAGCATTTTAGCCAGGTAGCCTAGGACAACACAAAATAAAAGTGTGTACTGTATGACAGAGTGATAGACCATTTCATCAACATGAAAGAGAAGAGGATGGCATTGGCGTTTCTCTACAAGTAGGGTGAGTCAACGTGTTTTCTACTTGCACGAACGTGCACGAACGTGCACGCACACACAGAAATCAGAACCATGGACAGCCACATCATATTTAGCTTATGTTGATTGGACTAAATTGTTTTTGTTATCTTTTAGTTGTCAGTGTATTAGACTAAGCAGAGGTGATTTGATAATGTTGAAGTTGAAATGGTGCTGGAATAGTGGAGGCAGCTCCTGTTTTCTTTGCAACTTGCAGTAACTCTCTGTGGTTCTAAATCAATAGTTGTTTAGTGGTCCAAAAATGTCGGAAACATTAACTTGCTTAACCATGCTGTAGGTTATGTAACTTTCTGTTACATGCAATATGCGTCGTGGACTTCAACGGACAGAGGTTGCTATCCGGTTTTGTGATAAAACAAAGGTGTGGTTGAATTTATTCTGCCACTGTCTTCTTATTGTCTCGGCCTTTAGGCCTATATATCACGAGGTATATGAATTAACAGCAAACAACGCAATTATCATGACACATACAGTGTAGGTTGTAATATGGCAAAACACATTTTTTTGGGGGGGGGGGTTACCCACGCACTACTTCTGAAATCAAGCAGACAACAACAGATTATCAACTTCAATTCGCTAGGGATATTAGATCCAACGTGGATCCAGGCTTCACTGGTGTAACGAATGATACAAAATATTCTGGACATTCCTCGCAAAAATGTTTTTTCCAGTGTGGTTGCATCGCATGCACTATCACAACAGCTGTTGTCACTTGACTATCATTCCGAAAATTCCTTCCTGAATCAGATTATGTGTGGTGAAGCACCACGGTGTAATTTAACAGCTCGACACCAAATGCACATCCAACAAGTATTATGCATAATTATTGAAGAACCACGTTCATGACAGTATCGATTTAGGTTTTAAGTATCAAGGTAAGGAGACTCTTTCGGTTAGAAGCATTCGTATTTGCAATCGCATACATTATTTTAGATGTGTGTGCCCATGAAAACTGTTTTAATTCCTTGCATAAGGAGACAGGAAATGTTAAGTAGTTATACTGAATTTCTGAGATCTTTATAGAAAACATATTTAGAAACTAGTCTTTGTCAAACACCCCCACATTGTACCGCTGGAGGAGGGAGGGAGGCAGTGAACGAGGGAATGAAAGAAGGAGAATGACTCTTAAACAGCTGTAATTTAAGTTTCAAGGTCAAAATATTTTTATGTAAGAGTCAAGGCGACTGAACAATCAGGACTTAATGGCCTAGTTGATATCCAGCTGATCAAGTCAATGGCCTAGCATGAAAATGAAATAATGAGCCACTAATGCAGCCTGGTACATCAAGGCTTAGACTTAGCACAGAACAGTACGAGTCATTTCTGTTAAGTGAAGTCGGCACACCCAAGTATTTCTGTCGCGAAGCTAAAGCTGCAGCTAAAATGAGACATGCCCTGCTGTAGTTGTTTCATCAACCAACTTTTAGGGTCCAAATAACCAGATGTAAATTTGTTTAACCAAAAATTATTGACATGAGAATATTAGAGGGTCGATCAGCTCTCATCATGACAACTGCCTGTCAGACTTCAAATAAAATGTTATTCATCACATGCATCGCAAAACAACAGGTGTGGAGTAACAGTGAAATGCTTACTTACGGGCCCTTCCCAACAATGCAGAGAGAAAGAAAATAGAGAAATAATAGAAAAGTAAAACAGGTATTAATAAAAGCACCATTGGCAGCGATTCAGCTGTGAGTCTTTCTGGGTAAGTCTCTAAGAGCTTTCCACACCTGGATTGTGCAACATTTGCCCATTATTCTTTTCAAAATTCTTAAAGCTCTATCAAATTGGTTGTTGATCATTGCTAGACAACCATTTTCAGGTCTTGCCATAGATTTTCAAGCAGATTTAAGTCAAAACTGTAACTCAGCACTCAGAAACATTCACTGTCTTTGTGGTAAGAACTCCAGTGTAGATTTGACCTTGTGTTTTAGGTTATTGTCCTGCTGAAAGGTGAATTAATCTCCCAGTGTCTGGTGGAAAGCAGACTGAACCAGGTTTTCCTCTGGGATTTTGCCAGTGCTTAGCTACATTCCGTTTCTTTTTTATCCTGAAAAACTCCCCAGTCCTTAATGATTACAAGCATACCCATGGCATGATGCAGCCACCACTATGCTTGAACATTTGCCCCAAACATAACACTTTGTATTGAAAAGGTTAATTGCTTTGCCACAATTTTTGCAGTATTACTTTAGTGCCTTGTTTCAAACAGAATGCATGTTTTGGAATAGTTTTATTCTGTACAGGCTTCCTTCTTTTCACTCTGTCATTTAGGTTACTATTGTGGAGTAACTACAATGTTGTTGATCCATCCTCAGTTTTCTCCTATCACAGCCATTAAACTACAGTATGTAACTGTTCTAAAGTCACCATTGGCCTCATGGTAAAATCCCTGAGCAGCAAGTGAGTTAGGAAGGACGACTGTATCTTTGCAGTGACTGGGTGTATTAATACACCATCCAAAAATGTAATTAATAACTTCACCATGCTCAAAGGGATATTCAATGTCAGTTTTTTTGTACCCATCTACCAATAGGTGCCCTTCATTGCGGGGCATTGAAAACTCCCTGGTCTTTGTGGTTGAATCTGTGTTTGAAATTCACTGCTCGACTGAGGGACCTTACAGATAATTGTATGTGTGGGGTACAGAGATAATATAGTCATTCAAAAAATCATGTTAAACACCATTATTGCACACAGAGTGAGTCCATGCAACTTATCATGTGACGACTTGTTAAGCAAATGTTTATTTATTTAGGCTTGCCATCACAAAGGGGTAGAGTACATATTGAATGGAGAGATTTCAGCTTTTCATTTCTAATTAATTGGGGAATTTTCAATAAACATAATTCCTCTTTGTCATTATGGGGTATTGTGTGTAGGCCAGTGACAAAAAATATGCACTACCCTCTGTAGCGCCTTGCGGTCAGATGCCAAGCAGTTGCCATACCAAGTGGTGATGCAGCCAGGCAAGATGCTCTCAAAGGTGCAAGTGTAGAACTTTTTGAGGATCTGAGGGCCCATGCCAAATCTTTTCAGCCTCCTGAGGGGTAAGAGGCATTGTCGTGCCCTCTTCACGACTGTGCTGGTGTATTTGGACCATGACAGGTCCTTAGTGATGTGGACACCCGCTCCACTTAAGCCCTGTCGATATGTGTGCTCGGCACTCCGTTTCCTGTAGTCCACGATCAGCTCCTTTGTCTTGCTGACATTGAGGGAGAGGTTGTTGTCCTGGCCCCACACTGCCAGATCTCTGACCTCCTCCATATAGGCTGATCAGGCCTACCACCGTCATGTCATCAGAAAACTTAATGATGGTGTTGGAGTTGTGCACGGCCACGCAGTCGTGGGTGAACAGGGAGTACAGGAGGGGACTAAGCACACACCCCTGAGGGGCCCCCGTGTTGAGGGTCAGCGTGGCGGATGTGTTGTTGCCTAACCTCACCACATGCGGACATCCAGTCAGGAAGTCCAGGATCCAGTTGCAGAGGGAGGCGTTCAGTCCCAGGGTCCTTAGCTTAGTGATGAGCTTGGAGGGCACTATGGTGTTGAACGCTGAGCTGTAGTCAATGACTTGTGTGGCTCCTTTCTATTGCCTCAACCAATGCCTCAATACAACCACTAATGATCCAGTCATGCTGTGTAGAGACCCAGGGAGGCAGGGAGGGACAATGTCACATAGAACCAGGGAAGCAGAGAGAGACAACACACAACGTTGGGAGGAATTAACTCCCGATATGACTCACCATTCCACAGGTTCCAGGTCCCAGGCAGAGCGCTATAATATGATACGCTGCTGCCTGCAAATTAAATAAGATGATGTATGTCACTGCTGCTTATCTACATGTTATGTCTCATCCCCCACTCTGTGATGTTACACAGAACTGAGATGATGTATGCTGTTAAACAAACCCTGGAACACAGTGCTGCTACTGCCCAGCCTATTGCACAAGACTGCTACCACAGAGAGATATCGCTGAAGACCTTACAAAACCCCACACATACACATCTACACGTACACACACACCTCATCCTGTACACATAACAAATACTGTACGTACACACATTACGCTCTAACAAACTCATATGCACGAGTCCACACACTCACACCCACCTCACCCCGCCATGACCAAGGAAAGTTCCTGGGCCATGACCAGGACGTTATTAACTTTTCATGTCAAACAAGATAACTTTTGTAAGACCGCCAAGCTCAATTAAATAATACTACTATTTGGTCTTTGAAACCAGCAGTCATTTTCTTTCCCATTGAATCATTAAGGAGCTTCCTACAGCTTCCTGTATCTCTGTAATGTATTGTGCCTCAGTGTTGGTCTGAAAGACAGAGACTGAAGGCCTCCCCCGGAGCTATTTCTCTCCCTTCAGACAAACTGAGCTATAGTTTCCTCAAACAAAGAAACACGCAATAACCAAAGCCGTAACAATGTACATGTTGGCATCAACAGTTCCATGTTAATGAAACTGGCACACATTTTTGGGGGCAAATATGGAGATATAATTAGCTGAGCTGTGTTTATTGGAGTAGGAGCAAATTGCTCCTACAGAGCAGAGATACTGACCTAAGGTCAGTTTAGGATTTATTCTTCTTACTGGGGTTAAGCTCATGTTTTGGGAAGGGTGAACTGATCCTAGGTCTGAGTCTAGTGTGTTCTCCAACCCGGAGCTCTTTGTATCTGTGGTTCTGGTGTGGACGTGTTAGTGTGGAAACATGGCAGAGATGGTTGAGATGTCTGGATCAGGTATGTGTTCTTTGGTCGGTCTCCAACTGCTGGGCTGGATGTGCTGCTGCTCTGGTCTACAGAAAACACTTAACACACACCCAGGGCAACGTGAAGCTAGTCCAAACAACCTTTAATACTAGGGAGGAATGGAGTAAAGATACGTGATGGGGGGGGATAACAACAGAGTAGAAGGAATATTAACATCATATATGATGTTAATACACATTATATGATGAAATGTTGGACTTGAGTCATATGATTGATTCAGGGTTCCATGGCCATCTGGATAGCAGAAGATTGTCTTGACTATATGTCAGCTGCCTCCACATCCCAACCCACACAAGCAGATGTCTCTTTCTCAACTTCCTGAATTTCCAAAGTGCTCTTGACGCGATTGCTTTTCTGCATTTCAGGTATGTCTTGGTTCATCCTTTAAACATGCCCTGGATTTCAACAAACGCAGTAGCTACAGAAAAACTAACTCTTTCTCTAAGTCAGCCAAAAATAGTTCATGACATTCCCTCCCTGGTTAAGAAAAGACCAAATCGAAGAAAAACTTCAGCTTTCTCTCTCCTTTTAGTCTCAACCCCCTCTATATAGTGCATTCGGAATGTATTCAGACCCCTTCCCTTTTTCCACATTTTGTAATGTTACAGCCTTATTCTAAAATCGATACAATATTTTTTTTTCGTCATCAATCTACACACAATACCCATAATGACGAAGCAAAAAACTAGTTTTTAGAACCTTTTGCTAATTTATAACAAAAATAAAAAACTGAAATACTTTACTTACATAAGTATTCAGACCCTTTGCTATGAGACTCGAAATTGAGCTCAGGTGCATCCTGTTTCCATTGATCATCCTTGAAATGTTTCTACAACTTGATTAGAGTCCACCTGTGATAAATGTAATTTATTAGACATGATTTGGAAAGGCACACACCTGTCTATATAAGGTCCCACAGTTGACAGTGCATGTCAGAGCAAAAACCAAGCCGTGAGGTCGAAGGAATTGTCCGTAGAGCTCCGAGACACGATTGTGTCGAGGCACAGATCTGAGGAAGGGTACCAAAACATTTCTGCAGCATTGAAGGTACCCAAGAACACAGTGGACTCCATCACTGTTAAATGGAAGAAGTTTGGAACCACCAAGACTCTTCCTAGAGCTGGCCACCCGGCCAAACTGAGGAATCGTGGGAGAAGGGCCTTGGTCAGGGAGGTGACCAAGAACCTGATGGTCACTCTGACAGAGCTCCAGAGTTCCTCGGTGGAGATGGGAGAACCTCCAAGAAGGACAACCATCTCTGCAGCACTCCACCAATCAGGCCTTTATGGTAGAGTGGCCAGATGGAAGCCACTCCTCAGTAAAAGGCATATGACGGCCCGCTTGGAGTTTGAGTGGCCAGCCAGAGCCTGGACTTTAACCCAATCGAACATCTCTGGAGAGACCTGAAAATAGCTGTGCAGCGACACTCCCCAACCAACCTGACAGAACTTGAGAGGATCTGCAGAGAAGATCACATGTAGTCCCGTGTAGCTCAGTTGGTAGAGCATGGCGTTTGCAACGCCAGGGTTGTGGGTTCGATTCCCACGGGGGGCCAGTATGAAAATGTATGCACTCACTAACTGTAAGTCGCTCTGGATAAGAGCATCTGCTAAATGAATTTTAAAAAATTAAAAATAATTGGAGAAAGTCCCCAAGACGACTCGAGGCTGTAATCGCTGCCAAAGGTGCTTCAACAAAGTACTGAGTAAAGGGTCTGAATACTTATGTAAATGTAATATTTCCATTTGTATTTTTAATACATTTTCAAAAAAACTGTTTCTGATTTGTCATTATGGGGTATTGTGTGTAGATTGATGAGGGGAAAAAACAATTTAATCAATTTTAGAATAAGGCTGTAACGTAACAAAATGTGGAAAAAGGGAAGGGGTCTGAATACTTTCCAAATGCACTGTATATCTTTAGATGGGGCCCACTGGGCACAGACGTCAATTCAACATCTATTCCACGTTGGTTCCAGGTAATTTCATTAAAATTACGTGGAAACAACATTGATTTAACCAGTGTGTGCCAAGTGGGAGGAGGTCACCAGGGCGAATAAAAACGCAGACAAAACGTATCTTTTGATTATTTCTGGATTCTGGGTATACAGGCATGATGATGGATTTTTGGCCTCCTAAATATGACAATAAAAATACTGACTGGAGCCTTGTCAGAAAATCGAATCAAATTGTATTTGTCAAATGTGCCGAATACAACGGTGGTAGACTTTACTGTGAAATGCTTTCTTACAAGCCCTTCCCTACAATGCAGAGTTTAAAAAATATATAAATAAAACATTTAAATAGTAACACAAGAGGAATAAAATACACAATAATTAAGCTAGAAACAGGGAGTACCAGTACCAGATCAATGTGCAAGTGTATGACGTATTTGAGGTAGATATGTACATGAAGGCAGGGTAAAGTGACTAGGCATCAGGATTTATAATAATATGAGTAAAATCAAGAACAGAGTAGCAGCAGCATATGATGAGTGTGAAAGTGTTTGTGCGTATGTAGTGAATGTGTGTGGGTTTTGTGTGAGAGTGTCAGTGTAGTGTGTGTGTGTGTGTGTGTGTGTATAGTCTACAATAATAACCCAACACTACCCCAACCTACCAGGAGAACATAGCTTTCATAGGCCCAGAGAGGAAGAGCAAGGAAATAGTCATTTCAGAGCAGTCGTTTAGGACGTATAACCCACCCTAACCCCGAAAATGACTCCTGAGTTTAAGTCTCATCCTTCTTCCAAGCAAAGTCATGAATGTGTAATAAAACGAGGGACTATTTAATTCCTTCAGATCAGGATGCCAGACCAGACAGAATTTGAGAAATATGCTAATGTACACTGAACAAAAATATAAAAGCAACATGTAGAGTGTTGGTCCCATGTTTCATGAGCTGTAAATAAAAGATCCCAGAAATGTTCCATACGCACAAAAAGCTTATTTCTCTGAACATTTGCCAAGATAATCCATCCAACTGACAAGTGTGGCATATCAAGAAGCAGATTCAACAGCATGATCATTACAACGATGCCCCTTGTGATGGGGACAATAAAAGGTCACTCTAAAATGTGCAGTTTTGTAACACAATACAATGCCACAGATGTCTCAAGTTTTGAGGAAGCGTGCAATTGGCATGCTGACTGCAGGAATGTCCACCAAAGCTGTTGCCAGAGAATTGAATGTTCATTTCTACCATAGGCCGCCTCCAACATCGTTTTAGAGAATGTGGCAGTACGTCCAACCGGCATCACAACTGCAGACCACGTGTATTGCGCCGTGTGGGCGAGTGGTTTGCTGATGTCAACGTTGTAAACAGAGCGCCCCATGGAGGCAGTGGGGTTATGGTATGGGCAGGCATAAGCTACGGACAACAAACACAATTGCATTTTATCGCTGGCAATTTGAATGCACAAAAATACCGTGACGAGATCCTAAGGCCCATTTTTGTAAAGATATCTGTGACCAGCAGATGCATTGTCTGTATTCCCAGTCAAATCCATAGATTAGGGCCTGATGAATTTATTTCAATTGACTGATTTCCTCATATGAACTGTAACTCAGTCAAATCTTTGAAATGGTGGCATGTTGCGTTTATATTTTTGTTCAGTATACTTGCAAATGGGAGGTAATAAATAATTGAATCTGTTACCCATGCCTAAAGTGATGTGATTTTAATTCCCTGTCTATTTTCCTACTCTGAACCCCAAAATGTCTGTCAGTGTCAGGCCAGTTGCACTTCCTCCCTGAGGGCATTAGGGTCTCTGCATCTAACTGTGTTGCTATGGGGATGAAAGCCATAGTGAATGGCTCCAGATGCTTCTGTCCCTCTCTCTCCCAAATCCAGTTATTGGCCGCTAATGATAATAGTGCTGGGTCAGTGAGGGGAAATTGCAGGGTTTATCTGTCCTGGTGGGCAGACAGTGGTGATATGAGGACTATTGCATTAATAATGCAAGAGGATCCTGCCCTGGTGGATTGATTTACGGTGGGAATGAGCAACAGGTGCGCTATGATTGTTGACTTTTTTTACTTTTTGATATTACTGGTACAATCTTGAAGCGCCACAGTGCTATGGTTTAGGCAGAGACAAGCTGTAGAAAATTACTTTGAAATCTCAAGAAGTGGAACACACGCAAACCTCACACCAAAATAACTTCTCTCTGTGTCTCTCTGTAGGTATCTCCATGCCCATCCCTGTCCTAGGCCTGCGGGACCACACCAAGGTATTTAAAGATGGCAGCTGCCTGCTGACAGACGACAGTTTCGTTCTGGTGGGCTCCTTCGTGGCCTTCTTCATCCCCCTCACCATCATGGTGGTCACCTACTTCCTCACCATCAGCGCCCTGCAGAACGAGGCTACCCTCTGCCTGGACCAGCTGGTGCCCCGGCCCAAGTGGAGCACCACCCTGACCCTGGGCTTCTTCCCACAGTCCTCGCTCTCCTCAGAGAAGCTCTTCTTCAGGCGTTCGCTCAGCCGTGACACAGGAGGGGTGGGAGGAGGAGTCGGCGGGGCCGGGGTGGACCCGCGGTACGGGCGTCGTACAATGCAGTCAATCAGCAATGAGCAGAAGGCCACCAAGGTCCTGGGTGTGGTCTTCTTCCTGTTCGTGGTCATGTGGTGTCCTTTCTTCATCACCAACGTGCTGGCAGTGGTGTGCGACCCCGTGAACTGTGATCCACGGGTGATGGGGGGGCTGCTGAATGTGTTCGTGTGGGTGGGATACCTCTCCTCAGCCGTCAACCCTCTGGTATACACTCTGTTCAACAAGACGTACCGTGCAGCCTTCTCCCGCTATGTACGCTGCCAGTACAGCCCAGAGAGGAAGCCTCTGCAGCTCATGTTGGTTAACACCATCCCTCCACTGGCCTATAACTCCACCCACCTGCCCCTGGAGGAAATGGGTTCCCTCAGGAATGGGGCCCAAAGTGGTGGAGGACCCAGGGACTCCTTACGAGCCCTGGTAAGGACCAAATCAAACTCAGACAACGACAAGGCACCCAGGGACCAAGATGAGAGCATCAGCTGTGTGTGAGCCTGTAAGGACTGAATCTCCCATAATCCTAGTGAGATGTGCAGGGTTTTGATCACAATCTCGCCTTGTTTTGGGAGGGAAACCTTTGGAAAGGGGGTTCCTGTGCTGGAACATGCTCAGTAGCTCTGTGGTGAGACTCATGCCAGAGAGGAATACGCAAAGCGAGAGGGTCCACTCCCGTCAAAATCTGTCCACGCGTGAATACAGCGATAAGCTGTAGGAAGCAGGAAGTACAGCGAGAGGAAAAGACACAGCCTGCCTCACAAACACTTAAACTAGTAACACCAGAAGAGAACAACTGAGCTAATGCTAAATTATCAGCAACAGCCAGGGGGCACGAGGGGATACATTTCCCCAAATATTTTCATACACCTAGCTTGGGTACCAGTCTGTTTAGCTAACATTCCACTCCTTGTGTGCCAAAGATGTTTCACAATGACACGTCAAGGAGTGGAATGTTAACCAAACGTACTGGTACCTAAGCTATCATACACCATATACAAATATATATTTGTGTATATACATTGTGCCCGTCCATAAATAAATGTGGGTTTTTGTTGTCATTACCTGAAGAGACAGAGCACATTTTTGTGTTTTCTTGTGTTTCCTTCATGCAGTATAAAAATACAGAAATGTGTACTGGTGGGATGTAGGCTAATGAAGATGTATATGTTGAGAGATTCCTAGGCATAGCTCAGGGGGCTAAAGGACCTTCCTTGTAAAGGCGTGGGACTCATTTGCACTAAGTGTTGTTGTACCTATGATTGATGTGATCTGTTGTTATAAACCCTCCCACTTTTTCATAGGGAACCCACCATCGCCACTCTACCACCAGGTCCTCTGATCTCAACCCTACTTAAGCATAGAACTGATGCTTCTTTTATAAACATAGACAATGTTGATGTTGCCTGGGTAACCACTTCTAACTGCCAGCGGAGAGAGTTCTGTGTATTTGATGGTGTCCATTTTTTCTCTTGACACAAATGAGAATTTCTTTTTCCAATCAAAGTCAAATAGAAATTGAAGCCTTTATGAGTGTGTGGTGGTCATTTTAGTGTGTATGTCTGACTGGTCAAAGCGGACCTGTTTTTTAACTGTAGACCAAGGAGAAGCAAAGTGTCTAAGTGTGTGGGCGATGTTCATTTTCTTCACATAAAAACGAACATATCATTTAGGAGTTTTGTCCCCCAACACTAAGGGGATAAAACTTGTTGTTCAATAACACTTATGCACGCACATTCAAACAGACGCACACACGTGCACACACACACACCCTAATTGCTTGTCCTGTTTGAGTGCTTGTTTGGGTGCATGTCTGTTCAAGTGTCTTATAGCGTAAATGAGATAATGATGATGATGATAATCATTAATGTATGAGAATCCTATCCATGAAGGTAGTGTGTGGGGGCATGAAATGCCAGTCCTCAATGGCTGCTATGTATTAGAATTATTAAAGCACCACACACACACATACACCATTCACTGTCATCATTACCTATCTCTAAACCCAGCTGTCATGCTCCCCGATCCCTCTTTATTGAAATTACCCAACTTACCACTAAATTATTCATGAAGGCCATCAGCTCTGATCCTTTTAACTTCTTCACCATTTAAAACCATACCTGAGTGATCCATCATGATTTAGAAATGGGTAATTAGCCAGGAAGAAAAAAGCAAATGTCACTGGGATCATGAGTATATTCTCACAGGGAAATAATAAAAAAGCCCAATTAACACAAGTTGAAGCCTAACATAACTACATAACATATACATTAATAACAACAAAGGCAATTCCCAGCCTGTAGACTGGGGCCAGATGGTCCTCCCTGTCTTACATCATGACATCATGGTAACGGCCACCTAAGGTAATGTTAAGAGGGGTAAAAGAAGGGGCTGCAGGGGTTTAATTTAGGTCACATTATTTAAATAATTATTCTGGAATCCCTTCAATAGCTGGGTGGGGAGAAGGGATGGATTAATTAGAAATATGAGGAGAGAGGGAAGGAGAGAGGAGAAAGAGTACGGTAGGCTCCTATCCCAGTCTCTGTGGTTTCTTTTAGTGACTGAGCTTGTGTCAGTCTATGAAATGATTAAGTGAGGAAGTAAGAAAGAGTGGGACTGATTAAGAATGGGGAGAAAGGAGCGTAGGAGACCTAGAGAAACTGAAAATGGGAAAACAAGACAGTCAGTGGGATGGAGGGAAGAATGAGAGAGAGAGAGAGAGAGAGAGAGAGAGAGAGAGAGAGAGAGAGAGAGAGAGAGAGAGAGAGAGAGAGAGAGAGAGAGAGAGAGAGAGAGAGAGAGAGAAAGAGAGAGAGAGATGCGGTCAGAGTGCTGGCTACTGTGACCCTAGTGTCAATCATTATGGCAGGTGATGCTTTTTTAAACAAGGCTCAGGTGTTTATCCTTTACTTCAATAAGCCTTTGAAAATGTTCTCACAGAGGATAAATAATTATTGTTTCTATAAAGGGCTTTGATCTCTAATTCATCTCATTCAAGCTGTTTTCCTGAAAACAGTTTTTGTGTATTTGGCTTGGATATTCAAAGCAGCATAGCAGTTTAATCGATTCCTTTTAATCTCTTGCCATAGACAAATGTGTTTACTTTAGTATCAATTAAAAGTGAAAACAAACTGAAATGAAAAAGAAATACTCATATAAAGTGCTTGGAGTAGGTATTAATATCAGTATGGATTTTATGCTGAAAAAATATCAATATGCATTTTAATACACCTCAATGAGCAATGTTCAATCTCAGCAATAAAATATAACTGAAAAACAGAGTGGCATTTCAAACAGTAACAAACGGAAACATTTCAGACCAAATTCGTAGTGCCATTTACAGTATTGGTAGGAATTTCAGTCACTTCGCACTCTCTACGCATGGCACATATCTTGAGTTCCACGGCTGTCATAATAAGAACAATTTAATACCCACTTCACTCTCTGGCCTATGGCAGTCATTGACCGGCAGTCCTACATCATGAGGTGGTATTCAATGAGGCACACAGTACTTGAATGTAGGCTAACCACCAAGCTTTGCACAAGCCAAGCCATAAACAAACATCAAACCTGCAGACAACATGGGGTGTCAAGTCAATACGTTTGTGCCTTCATTCAGAGAAAGAGTCTGTCTATTGAAGGGATTTGTTGTGCTATGACTATGCTGTCTAAGATCTGATGGGTCGCTGACGAAGGCACAGCATCTCAATGTGGTAACAACCAATGAAGTAATTGTCAGCAGTGGGCAGTTTCATTGTTTGGTTACAACTTCAAGGGAGTGCGTGCGAGTTTGCAGACACACAGAACTCGGGACACACCACACACACACACAACCACACACACACACACACAAACACACCACAGTCAATTTATTAGGTAATTTGTGTCTTTGTCAGGGAGGTAATGTAACACAAACCTTTAATCAGGCAAGTGTGTTTCACTCTAATGTTTTCAGTGCTCAACAGAGAAGAGGAGCATCACTTTATCCACACATGGTTACTAAGAGAAGAAAAACAGTAAAGATTCAAAGATCCATTGGATGCTTTTCAGAAAGCAAAACAGGATAATAATTCCAATGTGCTTACATGTATAATGCTTTTACACCTTCAGAAACACAATTTATGTCTGGTATCCAGTGTACCCAGTATTAATACAATATGTACTATACAGTATCTCCAGTTGAACATCTAGGGAACCATTTGACATACAAATAATGCACTTTGGCTAAGTAGTAGTGGAGGTATGCAAAATTGCTATAACCGTTAAGGTAGAGCAGAGCTGGGGAGAGTCTTACAATGCTGTCATTGCTCCAAGGTCTCTCCGTATAAGCTAGTGAGAAGCCCAGCTCCATTCCAGTGACAGACTTAAATGTCTAGAGTTTTATGAGCCCAGAGGCTATCATCAGATACCCACAGGCTATCATCAGAAATCTGACAGGTTATTCTCTACCCTATACACTACCGGTCAAAAGTTTTAGAACACCTACTCATTCAAGGGTTTTTCTTAATTTTTTACCATTTTCTACATTGTAGAATAATCATGAAGACATCAAAACTATGAAATAACACATATGGAATCATGTAGTAACCAGAAAAGTTTTAAACAAATCAAGATATATTTGATCATTGAGATTCTTCAAATAGCCACCCTTTGCCTTGATGACAGCTTTGCACACTCTTGGCATTCTCTCAACCAGCTTCACCTGTGATGGGTTCGGATTTCTAAACTTTAAATATTGTTAATCATCAGTTATACTAGAGACATGAGGAGTGCCATAGTCTGGTTTATACACCAGAAGTTAATGGTTACCTGTAGGAGGAATGTATATGGTGGGGTCAATTAAGGTTGGATAGGAGCCAGGGGGCTCTGGAATGTACTGATTAAAAGAGAGGCAATCACATGATTACAGTTATTGATAAGGGTGGAGAGCTGTGGATTAGTGAGGAATGGGGTTGAGGTCAGGTCAGGTCACATTGAGGGAGAAGAAACAGCTTATTACCCACATCACTTAACTTCCTGCCTAGCAATGAAGATGTAATGTTTAGAGGGAAGGAGGAGTTCACCTAAATTGGATTATATATATATATATATATATATATATATATATATATATATATAGTAAATGTGTTGGTTGGAACATGTTTTTTGTCTTATGCAGCTGCGGGACCCAGTGGGTGAATAAACTTGGTTGAGCTTCACTAATCGTCCGTGAGTTTTACTCGGTTTGTTTAGAACCTAACACCTGGAATGCTTTTCCAACAGTCTTGAAGGAGTTCCCACATATGCTGAGCACTTGTTGGCTGCTTTTCCTTCACTCTGCGGTCTGACTCATCCCAAACCATTTCAATTTGGTTGAGGTTGGGGGATTGTGGAGGCCAGGTCATCTGATGCAGCACTCCATCACTCTCCTTCGTGGTCAAATAGCCCTTACACAGCCTGGAGGTGTGTTGGGTCATTGTCCTGTTGAAAAACAAATGATAGTCCCACTAAGCCCAAAC